GAAATTTCCCTGAATCTAATCAATGGTTACAATAGGCACCTCTATTCATATAGACAGGCAATCTCCCTTTTTGCTCCAGGCAGTTCTATTGTTTATTCCAGCTGGACTCCTTTTCTCAACACCAAAACCAAACCAAAAGGCAGTTAAAGAATGAGATGTTTGAGTCATGCTACTGTAAGGAAAATATTAAGGCATTAAAATAAGTTTTGTCCAGAAGGCTGTGACAGCTGAGTTTCTGTAACAATAGACCCATTATTACTAAACAGAATGTGTGTGTAATGTGATAGAAGAGGAGAGAATTAAGCAGGGTCTTTTTGTGTTGTTTCTAGGCCACAGGTGACAGGAACAAACTCATCATGATCTGGGAAGCTGCAACCTGCAAACACCTCTATAAGTTCACAGGCCATCGTGATACTGTATCGGTAAGAGACCACAACCACTAGAGGTATTCCTATTTATAGATAAAGTTCAGTCAGGATATAGGGCAGGGGTGTCAAACTGCCAGCCCGGAGGCCGGATGCGTCATGCTGAAACCACACCCACCCCATTGCCGGCAATGGGGAAAAAAAGTCATGATAAGTCCCGACACGTCACGTGATGTTGTGAGTTTGACACCCCTGATATAGGGGAATGTTTTTCTGGATGCTACTATTATGTCTTTAAAAAAGAATTTTAACAGTTGAAATTTTTTTACAGCAATCTGGAAAATGATTGGCAGAAACAACTTGCACTCCTCAATCATCCATCCGCCAAAATGATTTGAATCTTTTTGCTGCATAGATTTTTCTACAGTAATATTATTTTTTAACTCATATGTTCTTTTGTCAATTGTCTGTATCATAGGAAAGCAAAGTAGAAATATTTTTTTAAATATGGGGAATCGATGCAAAAATTTGCATCCCTCTCCTCTTTACCCTCCCCTTCGTTACAAACATGAAAACCTTTGCTTAAAGTACAGTGAGTACTGCAACAAAAGTATTTCTTTTCTTGTTTCAATAAACAAGTTATTCCACCTGTACTTTGTATGGGCTGTTCACTCTCTAATAGAGAAATCCACATTTCCCTCTGGGACAATTAGATTGGATGAGGTAGAGAAATCCAAGATTAATCCCGCCTGCCTTTGTGCCCATCTCATCCCATGTCTTCCTCTCTTCATGTTTTTTTCCTTTCAGGGCCTTTCTTTCCGCAAGGGCACTCACCATCTGTACAGTGCCTCCCATGACCGCTCAGTCAAAGTGTGGAACGTGGCAGAGAATGCATATGTTGAAACCTTGTAAGCAACAGTTTTTGGGCATACGTGCAGAATTAGTGATAGGCACATAGCATGTTTCTGATCTGTGCAAACTACGTTCTATGAAGATCAGAGATGACAGGAGGCAGAATGAATGTATCATTAATACATTGATATGGCAATTCCTTTTTACAACTTGTTCTTTCCCCAACATGGTAGTAGCGTTACTCCAGACTAGATTTCCCCGAATTGAGGCCTTCCAGATTTCAGGATCTCTAGCCCAGTGTTTTTCAATTTTAGCAACGTTTAAGATACATGGATTTCAGCTCCCAGAATTTTGCTAGCCAGTGTGCTGGCTAAATGAATCGTTGGAGTTGAAGTCCACACAATTTAATGTTGCTGAGAAACATTGCTCTAAACAATGTGAGGACTTTTGGCTGGGAATTCATGGAGTTGCTGTCCCAGTGGAACTTGAGGTGATCACCTTGGAGAAAGATGCCCAAGTTCATCTTGACAGGATGAACTTCATTGGTATGAAGCAGTTTTGGTCACCACGATGTAAAAAAGATGCTGAGACTCTAGAAAGAGTACAGAGAAGAGCAACAAAGATGATCAGAGGACTGGAGGCTAAAACATATAAAGAACAGTTGCTGGAATTGGGTATGTCTAGTTTAACAAAGAGAAGGACGAGGGGGGACATGATAGCAGTGTTCCAATATCTCAGGGGCTGCCACAAAGAAGAGGGAGTCAAGCTATTTTCCAAGGCGCCTGAAGGCAGGACAAGAAGCAACAGGTGGAAACTAAGCAAGGAGAGACGCAACCTAGAACTAAGGAGAAACTTCCTGACAGTTAGAACTAACCAGTGGAACAACCTGCCTCCAGAAGCGGTGAATACTCCAACACTGGAAGTTTTAAAGAAGATACTGGACAGCCATTTGTCTGAAATGGTGTAGGGTTTCCTGCCTGACCAGGGGGTTGGACGCAATGACCTCCAAAGGTCCCTTCAAACTACTACTACTACTACTACTACTACTACTTCTTCTTCTTCTTCTTCTTCTTCTTCTTCTTCTTCTTCTTCTTCTTCTTATTATTATTATTATTATTATTATTATTATTATTATTATTATTATTATTATTATTATTATTATTATTATTATTAATGAGGGAGCTTATATGTTCTTGTTATAAAGCTTTTAAAAGAAACAAACTCCCCCTTTTATTCACGTGACCATTCAGAGGGCCAGGATTTGCCGAATATGTTAGCACGTACACAGTAACTTGCAATATACCCAACTGAAATACTGGATTCTCAAACATTAGACAGGCCAAAATTGAATCCTCATCCTCTTTTCTCCCAAGGTTTGGTCATCAGGATGTGATCACGGGCCTGGATAGTTTGAGCCGGGAGTGCTGTGTCACATCAGGAGGGAGAGATGGCACTGTCAGAATCTGGAAAATCCCTGAGGAAGCCCAACTTGTATTTTATGGACATCAGTAAGTGTGAGAATCACTGCCTGTTCAGGCTTCTTTTACAAAGTGTGTTGTTTGAGAAAGGGAAATCTATATGCAGCATCTAACAGAGGAATAATAAGTGACCACATTGTGCTTTGTTGTATTATCAAATCTAAATGCATTGATAAATGACTCTTTGAAATTAGGCTGTGCTCAGCTGTAGGTCTCATTCATGTGGTCAAATTGTCTTTAGATTTTTTAAAGAACTTCTTGCATTCTTTTTAATCCTCTCCTGGAACTGGGTGAATCTATACTTTATGCTTTGCCGTTATCTTGTATCTCCATCCAATTAATTCGAGAAGATTGAGGGAATTTTAAGAATGATGTGAGATCTGAGATGAAGTGAGATGAAGCGAAGTACTAGAACTAGAAGAGGAAATGGCATAGTCAGGAAAGCATTGTTTTTGAGTTGAACTTTTCCCAGCAAACAGAACCACAGTTTCTTCAATTCATGTGATTTTTCACCTGCTATGCGAATGTGAATTACATTTAGTACATGAAATGGACACTCTGGCGAAAGATAATTTTTATATTTCTCAGCACACACAAAAAAAGTATCTCATGAAATAGGGACAGGCCACCTTTTTGCAAGTGAGAAATTCACTTTTAAAAACTTCCAGGGCTGTATATGTTTCAAAAATGAGAATTTAGAAGTGTAACTCTTTAAAGCAGCTGAAGCGTTTTTCAAGCTTGTGTGAAAGCTTTTTTTTGGCTCCCATATGTGCTGAAGAATCTCTTCTGAATCATTTTTAAACTATGCACAGTCATGCCCAATATTTTCGGCTTGTTTATTGGTTTTTGCTAAAGGTTAGGAGTGCAGGGTTTTGCAATATAGTTGTGGAGGGCTCTAGAGCAGACATGTCAAACTTGCCACGTCACGTAATGTCGCGCGACGTATCGGGACAGTTTTGCCATTGCCAGCAATGGGGTGAGTGTGGCTTCCAGATGACGCGTTCGGTCCGCGGGCCGGGAGTTTAACACCCCTGCTCTAGAGGATACAGAACAAGTTACTGGATGCTGGCAGATTTTCTGGTTGAAGATGATTTTTCTAGGCTGAATGGCTGGTATTTGAATGCCTGATCTCTGTAATAGGAAGATCTCTCTATCAAGAGAATGCTTGAAATATCTTGCATTTTTCACCTTTTTTATAACACCATTAAAAAGTTGAGTGTCTTTCACTGTGAAAAATGCCCTGAAGCATGCAGCATAAATTGATTACTAGCAACATGGATTATTTGCATTGCTGATTAAATAGCTGTAAGTATGGTTTTCTTTTTCCCATTAGGGGTTCAATTGACTGCATCCAGCTCATCAATGAAGAGCACATGGTGTCTGGTGCAGATGATGGGTGAGTATACTTTGAAACTGTAACTCGGTAAAAGTAAAATCAACTGATCCCCACGGGATACGTAATGATTGTGATTTTGTCTCTAAGGTCAGTTGCCCTCTGGGGTCTCTCCAAAAAGAAACCGCTAGCAGTAGTGAAGCAAGCCCACGGTTTTCATGGCACACGGGGCCTGGAACAGCCATTTTGGATATCTTCGGTTGCTGCTTTACTGAACAGTGACCTCGTAGCAACAGGTGCCATGAGATATTTGTCTTCTTTTTTCTGTTGCCTTTGGGGCTAGGAAACCAGATGATGCTCTTTTTCCTGATATTAGTAAAAAAACCAGTGCAGCATTTCAACTTAAAATCCTTCATACAGTTCTAGGCAAAATCATATGTATAAGTACTTTGAAGTGTATCCGGTTATTTATGGTGGAGCTTACTTCTAAGTAGACACGTACATGATTGTCCTGCCACCATATTTTTTTAAATAATCTTCTGATTCATAGCAATCAATCGACATTCCAAGATACTTGTAAATAATATTCAGAGGTGTTCATTGCTCTAACTTTGCTGTTTCAGGTTTTCTGGGGCCAGGATGTGTCTCTGGTTAGAGGCATTCTGATATCCCAAATCTTTGCTTTGAATTCCATTAGTTTCGGAGTTCTGATAGCAATAGACTTATATAATACTCCATAGTGCAGGGGTAGGCAACCTTGGCTCTTTTATGACTCGTGGACTTCAACTTCCAAAATTCCTGAGCCAGCCATGCTGGCTCAGGAATTCTGGGAGTTGAAGTCCACGAGTCATAAAAGAGCCAAGGTTGCCTACCCCTGCCATAGTGCTTTACAGCACTCTCTGGGCAATTTACAGAGTTAGCGAATTACCCCCAATAATCTGGGTCCTCATTTTATCGACCTCAGAAAGATGGAAGGCTGAGTCCACCTTGAGTCTTGTCAGGATCAAACTACAGGCTACGGGCAGAGTTTGCTTGCAATACTGCATTCTAACTACTGCATCACCAGGGCTCTGATGTCTTGGATAATAATTTTAGATAAATGCTTGGATTTATAAACTTGGATCAGTAGGTTATTCCTATTAAACATATCACGGAAGCACAGACTGAGAACCAGATAGCCTTGCACTTCCCACAGCCATGGGAATAGCCACAAGATTGCCTCCAAAATTTACTGCTGACTTATAATTCTTAAACTGTCAGAAAGAGAAAATGATTAAATGCACGGGAGGTAATAAAATTAAATAAATAAATGCATTAAAAATATGGTTTTGGCCTGGGTCATACACACTTCATAGAACTGTGGTCCATGGCTAGATTGGTGATCTGAAATGAAATCTTAGTGGTGTAGATTAGCTGTGTGTTCTTAGTACAAATAAATAGCATATAATTCTATTCTATTATGGCTAAAAGACAGCAGACTACTTACTTTTTAGCTAGAATAATAGGTAGCTGCTGTACTTTTTAGAATGACATGCTGTTTATTTGTATATGGTATACTGTATACTAAAATTTCTCATGTTTATTTTATGTTCATCAGGGTAAGAAAATAACGGCAATAGTTATAATAATAAATTAGGCAGGATAAAAGTTAGATCGAGGTTTATCCATTAATCTCTAGTTCTAGGTTCTTCAAGAGCATCACTTGAAGAAATTAGGAAAACTTCACTGAACTAAAGTTTTTAAAGCCTTCAGACTGAACATGGACATTTTTAAAAACATTATATGTTCTGCTTTTGGCAGGTTCCCACAGTGCCAGTGTGAAGTTGTGGAAGTGTGGAGAAGGATTTCGGAAGTTGGAGCGCCTCTTTGAGATTCCCTTGGTGAGGAAGCTGCTTTGAGCAGTGGGCTTAACTTCCAATTTAAACTTTTCTAGTTTGAGATTCATATTAAACTAATTTACGAAACAGGTGGAGCAAAAGGAAATAATACTGTGGAATTGTTGCAGGTATAGTGAACCTGGGTACTCCATGCAGGACTTACCTTGATAGTTTTAGTTATACTTTTCTCTCAGCCTCTTCTCCTTCTGTCACAGGTTTAACTGTTCCAGGGATCTTCCTAAGGAGTTCAAGGTTACACAGTGTAGATGAAATGTTTTGAACGTTACAGGAATCTACTTGAATGATTAGTCCTGTGTATATCTGATTTCTTCCTCAGTACCTCATGGAAGCTAATCCATAGTGCAGCATAGCCCAACAGTTAGACCCCAAAACTTCCTTTTGGGCAGTCAAGAACACTTAACCTGATACAGAAAATAGGTGTCTGCAAATCACCTACAGCCCTTTAGTGACTGTTGCCTATAAGTGCCATTGGTTGATTGGCAGGTTGCTGCAGAGTGTGGTCTTGATCTGGGAAAGGAGCTTCCCAGCATCTAGAGCAGGCATGTCAAACTCGCGACATCACGTGACGTCGTGCGATGTATCAGAGCTTTTTCGCCATTGCCGGCAATGGGGTGGGCGCAGCTCCAGTATAATGAAACCGGCCCACGGGCCAGCAGTTTGACATCCCTGATCTAGAGAATGGGATGGAGCAGGAGGTCTTGATTACTGTAACCAAATGAAAAGTTCATTCATCCTTATCTCCTACTTCATATGGACCCCTTTTTCAAGTTTCCAGCAACTCATAACTGGGACCCATATAGTTAACTGACTCCTTATGGTTGCCAAGTGAAAATCTCTTTCTGTTGTTATCCAAATAGAGGTCGAAGACTTAAAGAATAACATTTAACCAGTTTCCCAAGCAGAAAAAACAATGACCAGATTTTTTAAAAAAATTGTTTCTTTTTCAGATTGGTTTTGTTAATGGCTTGAAATTTGCCAATTCTGGAAACTTCCTAGTTGCTGGAGTCGGGCAGGAACACAGGTATGTGAACCTGGATTCTATTCACATTGGCAAATAGCCTACCCATATTCTCTTCTAGATTTAAGGCTGAATGTACTCTGTTAAAAAGTGTCCTAATCTGTTACCCCAAGCTTTCCTGACAACATAGGCACGGTGTCGAGATTTGGGGTCTCCTAAAAAATCTTTTAGTAGAAATTATTTCTGAAAGTGCCATTGGCAGCTGATAATGCTGGAAATGTTGATGAACTCCCAAATAGGGATTTAAGTATTCACCTTATCAGGGAGAGACCGTTGGGCAGGGCAGAGAGACCACATCCTTTCCTTAAGTACTCTGACTTAGCTAATCATAAGAGTAGCTCTCCCATGCATTAATACCAAATTGTAGGCAAAGCTGATTTTTTTGTTGCAAGGATCAAAACAAAACAGTGAGCTTTCATTCAGACTAGAGAACAATAAGAGCTGTGAAATTGACTGCCTTTTCCAGATTTTTGGGTTGAGATATAAAAACCCTGCTGTGAAACCACATGAAAGAAAGAACTGTCCTTTTTATTAATACTTTTAAGTCCAGCCTTGTCAGTGTCTTATGGTTTGTTCTATTGTAATTTTTTGATTTTTTTCTGAAACTTGTACATTTTACAGAATAACTACTGGCATATATGAATGGCGAAATGTTTCCTTCAGCCCTTTTGTAGACTTCCTATTCAAACCGGCCAACAGAATGTTTCATAAGCAGATACTTTATTTTTTTCTGGGTTGTGTTTCAGGTTGGGTCGTTGGTGGAGGATTAAAGAGGCCAAGAATAGTATCTGCATTATCCCACTCAAGAAGACCACAGCAGGCAATTCACAGAAATCGTCTGAAGGCTCCTAATGCTTTCTTTCTGCAAATCATGCTCACATTTCATGTATTATCCTATACATTAAAGCTATCTTTTGTGTTTCTCACAGAACTTAGAGGTCATTTTTATTTTTTTTCATTTTTATTTCACTGTATTGTTATTCACTGTATCCATATCAATCACTCTAGTCTCTTAATGTTCTTCTGGAAACTGTGAAACAATTTACATTTTGCTTTAAACCATAAAATGGCTTTCTTGATCTTGGATTAGCATTTTGTGTTAGCTCAACCATTCTGTACAGCATCAGACTTTTTCAGTCCCTGAGTCAGGTAAGACATCTATTTCCAGCTCTGTAATCTTTGGCAATTCAAATCTACACTGGCAACCGTGATCTCTATTTTCTCCATTTGGGAACTAACAATGCAATTATATGCATTTTATTAGAAGAAAATTTTTTTTGTCCACTAGGACTTAAGTTTTCTTCAGTAGGTATATATAGGATTATAGCCCTGAAGTAAGAAAAATGTGTTTGATGAGTGCCACGAATGATTAAAAAGGAGAACACAAGGGGGAGGGGGGAGAGACACACTAACTTTTTTGGCACCTTCAACAATGATTACAGTGGAAAAGTGCAAAAAAAATTGTACTTAGGCCTACATGTATATGAAATTACTTTTTCCAGCATCAGAACCAGTCTTTTTTTGCTTGTTTTATTTAAAACATTTATATAGCTCCCTATCTTATATCGAACTCAGAGCAGCTCCTCAATCCACAATTAAAACAATATCATTCATACAATAATACATATATCTATTAAAACCATAAACATTAAAAACCTGGCACCAAAGTCCTGTGGAACACCTTTCTCCTTGGTGTTCGGCAAGCCTCTAGGAAAGCACTTAAAACCTGGCTTAAGTTGATATCTAGGTCAATGGCCTATCTCACCCAAAGTGCTGATGTAGGGTGGAGTGGACAAGAGGATTTAACAATGGTCTGCATGTGGAAGGTTAAATCTGGTGCCAGGTTTTTAATGTTTTTTTGTAATATTTTATTAATTTTCTACTTTTACATTTAAATATTTAAAAAGCAACGTGGTGGCTGGGTTAATCGATAATTCAATAACATACAAAAATCTTTAGTACAAATCTCAAGCTACCACATCAAATATTTCCTCTCTTTTTCCCTTAAATATCTACTGTCTCATATTTAAGCTAATACAGTTCTTATTATATCAACTGAGTAAAACATATTTATTACATTTATCAATAAATTTTTAGTTTATACATATCTTAATTATTTTTACATTCAATCTTTATAGACAATATCCTATTTATTTGTTTTCCCCAATTTTTAATTTCCCATCAATATTCAAATTTAACTTTTAATATTTGTACTTCCAAGTTTTAAATGACCAAAGTTTTCTTTATCTCAATTCATAACAAAATCTAGTATTCAAAATACACATCTTGTCTATTTGAATATATTCTATTTTAATTAGTAATATAAAATCCTCTCTAATAAATCAAAACCCCAATTTTCTTCAGCTTTATTCTGGCTTTCTTCCTTTGCCAGCTCGCCTTCCATGTCAGTGCTTTTAAGTCATTAAATAGATTTCCCTCTGTTGTTATATATATTATTTGAAATAAAAGAGACTATCCAGTCGCCATTTTTTTGGAAGGGCTAGTGAATTGTCTCTCTATTATTCGAGATCCCCATAGTTGCCCTGATATGTTTGTCTTCCCTTCGGTCTGTTTTTCTTCTTGCTCCTCAAGTTTCTTCTGGTTTAAAGAAAAAGTCTTTTCCATTTTCAGTGTTGTCAGTCCCTTTTCTGGATTTTCCATTGACTATATTTGTTGGTCAGTTGAATCCTCTATCATAGTATTTAATTGTTCCACTTCTTCTGTTATCTTCTGCATAGTTGATTCTTTAATTGTAATCAAAATTTGGGTTCGTATATCTAGGCTGACATCTTGTTCTTTTCGGTAGCATCTTATTTCATCACAAGCTGAAAGAATGGTTTCATGTATTGCTTTCAACATAAAAAGAATCTGTTCCTGGTCTTCATCCATATTCTCTTAATGGTGTGTTAAATTGAGGGCTTTAAAGTAAAAGAATGAAAATATTTTTATAACTGAGTATAGAACCCAGCTGAGCTTCTCACAGCTGATATTTGTCAGGGTTGAAAAAGTCTTATCTGTAGTCTGGGCTTCCAGCCAAGTCTCCTTTAAACAATAACAAGTTATAATATCAAACTTGGCCACAAGATGTCACCAATGCCGTTTAAAGTTTTTTAAATCCAAAATTTTTATAATCCTTTTTCCAATTTTATTTCTTTTTTGTAAATAAAAACCAAAGTCTTCAGTAAAGATAAGAAATCTTTTGGTCCCCAAATTTTAGAAGCATATAAATCCAGTTAGATTAAGGTTATTCTTTCAGTGTTTTAACACCCCTGGATAGTCAGTCGCCGCTATTCTTAGAGGGTGGGATAGAAGTTCCCTTCCCTCTCTCCTCACAGGGGGGAAGATACTTTGGGCAGCTTTTACAGGAAAAAAAATACTTAGGATTGAAGAGAGGTTCAGATCTCAATCAGTCTCATCCGCGCTGCTTTAGAAGTGCCTGGTGGTAAGTTTGACTTCGGCTGTCTGCAGCCTAGTGACGAGCCATATTTCTATGGCTGGTCTTTCATCTGCTGGTTTGGAGGGCTGCCCCGGATCGAGCAGAAGGACTACCGCCCTCCCGCGATCAAGCAGGGGTCCCTTCCTTGTTGCCCCTACAGGGCGACTCTCGACCCTTTCCAGGGTCCCCCAGCAGAGCAAAACCAAACGCGGAAGATGGAGCTCACCTTCCAGCGTCCGCGGCAGCCGCGATGGTAAACCGGAAGGATTTTAATGTTTATGGGTTTGACACATATATGTATTATTTTGTTTTATTATTGATGTTTTAATTGTCAATTGGGAGCCACCTAGAGGTCAGTATAAGATGGGTGACCAAATGAATGTTTTAAATGAAATAACAAAATAGGAAGACCAGTTTTCAATCTCAGAGCTAGAGCTAGTTAGGAAGCAGAAGCTTTGGGGCTGTACCTGATTAAGGTCTTGTAAATTTCAGGCAGCAAGCAAATGACTAGGTAGGGTACTAAACAACTTGTGATTAAGGTCACTAAGCAAGGAGCTCGTAAACTATTCCACTTGGTAAGGAGATGCTTGGCCAATATTTGATTTTAAGGTTATGACTTTTGGACACTAGACATGGGGGCAAAAAGGAAGCCAAGTCCCTGTGTAAGAATTTCTCACGATTCAAGAAATTCAATAATAAAAAAAGCACTTTATTTACATAAATTACAAAAAATCACGAACTGGATCACAAAAAGTCTACTTCAAATTCTGGTTTTTTAAAACAGTATACATCACAATAATACTTTTTAAAATTTAGATAATACGTACATTCTCTTTTGTTATTGTTTTGTACAGAAGCACTTTCTGATTCCTATCATTCTCATATTCTGCAGATAATTCTATCCTTTGGCGAAACACGTCCCTGTAACTATTGGTCTCATTGTGTTGACTGCATTTCCCATCTTTAGCAAGGCTAAATTGACCCCGGTGGTGAGGATGATCGTGAGTGTAGTCCCACCTATCTGAAAGGTACCAAATTGGGGAGTTTGAGCCATACTTGAACTGTCAGGGAGCATTGGTTGAAATCAACCCTTGAGCTAGATAGCAATTGGTATCCCTGTGCCAATCTTAGTCTGGGTTTAGTTTGCAAGATGGTTATGAATATAAAAATATGGAGCAGGGCACCCAGGATATACAGTATCTCCCTTGTGGAAGGGAGAAATTAAAATATGATAAACTGCAGAAGTGGTTGGTTTGAATGGCATAGTTTCAGACTTGTATATTTTATTAGAAATGTTTACTTTAGATATTTTCCACAAGGGAAATATATCCTGGGTGCCCTGCTTCATTTTTTTATATTCATAACTACCTTGCAAATTAAACTTGGAGACTAAAATTGGCTCAGGATAATCAGCTGATATCTAGGTCAAGGGTTGATTTCAAGAGTTGTCCCTGATGATGGTTCAATTATTGTTCAACCACCCCAATCTGGCACTTTTCAGGTGAAAATTCCCAAATATCTAAATTCACATTTTTCTTCTGAATTTTACCTATATAAGTATAATATAACTATATTGCAGCGGGACCAGACTTTACCCTGGTTGTCATTGAGGTCTTAGCAGCTTAGAGGTTTTCTTGCACATTTTACTCCCTTTTACTTAATACAAAATAGTATTCAGCTGAAATTGAGAATTATAAGTGATGGAAAGGTAGGAGTCCTTCAGCTAAGTTCTGAAACTTCCAAACTGAGATTTGCAGTACACAGTTAAAGCTATTCTACTGTTTCTATTTACTAAAACTACAGGCCTTATCCTTCAGATTATAATATCTAGTTGAATCATGCTATGATGCTAAGGGACATTAACAGACATTTTTTTTCTTTCCCCAGGCTAGTGTGTTTATCTTGTCAGGTTGCAGGTAAATGTCAACAGTTGGAGTAGCTATTCCAATTACTAGATTTAGAATTTTCCATTCAGGTTTCCATGTCATCTTGGTTTGGTTTTATTGCCTTTTTTCATATGTGTTTATCAGGAATATGGTATTTTCCTAAATCCAGGAAACACATTTTTCCTAGCATGGAGAAATATGAAAAATGTTCACTTAATTTAGTTACTTTTAGGCTGTCCTTCATTATAATAAACGATATTTTGGCCTACCATTAAAGACACAAGTTCACAGCAAGTACAACACTTAACCAAATTTGGCTGTTCTTGAAAAAGCTAAGCTATGTCAGACCTGATTAGTTTTTGGTCAGGAGAGAATCAGAATACCAGAGCTATAGACTAGATTGAAAAATGGAGACAATATCACAAAAGAAGGCAAGGGCAAGCCAATAAACCAACATGGACATGTCCATCTTGTCTCTTTGAGCCAAGCTCAGTATGCGAGAGACTCGACTTTAAAAGGGCGAGAAGGAAGGTACCATCCATTAGTAACAGAGCAACACCACTAAACTGCTGTACTATGACTCAAATGAAACTTTCCTTTAGATTCTTC